TCTATGCATTTCTTATGTTATACTTCAATTACAACAGTTTTAAAATATATGATTGTCAAATGAATACGCTAATGACCTAAAAAGTACCCTTGATTTGGTGGCTGAAAACACTAACATTTCATTTGCTCTGGAATCTGCCATTTGGACATGGATCAGCATGGACACTTCATTCCTTCTCTATTTGCCGGTAGCCAGCGACTGGTATTATCTAAAGGCTCACTCACTCACACGTCAGATGGTGAATGCCGGCTGTCACCTGAGACTTTAGCTGGGCCTGTAGATTCAAGCACCAATACAAGGCATCTTTATGTGCCCCGAGATTCCTCATGATATGGTGGCTGTGTTAGAAAAACTTTATATTCAGTGTGACTCTAATTCTGTTTCAAGATACACACACATTCCAAAAAAATTAACAGAAGTTTTCCCTGGAGTGAAGAAAAATGAGTGATTTTTAAACTTTCGTAGTTATACATTTTTCTTTTATAAATTTTATACCATAAACATGTATTACTTTCTAAATCAGATGAAAAAAATTCAGCTCCCTGTTAGCATACATAATACACTAGTGTAAACACAAATGAAATTGAAAATGCAAAAATGTCAAACATATTTACATTATTAAAAAAAAAAAGAATCCGCTCATGAAGAGCAAAAACGTTATGAAATACTTGATTCATTCTGCCTTACTTCCCCACCCTCCCCATTGTGAGACAGAGTTTCACTCCTGTTGCCCAGGCTGGAATGCAATCCACTTACTGCAACCTTCACCTCCTGGGTTCAGTCGATTCTCCTGCCTCAGCCTCCTGAGTAGCTGGGATTACAGGCATGCACCACCATGCCTGGCTAATTTTTGTATTTCTAGTAAAGACTGGGTTTCACCATTTTGGCCAGGCTGATCTTAAACTCCTGACCTCAGGTGATTCACCTCCCCCAGCCTCCCAAAGTGCTGGGATTACAGGCACAAGCCACCTCGCCCAGCCCACCTTACTTTTCAAGTTACAGATGAAATGAACATCAGCACATCAGAAACTAACAAAGAACACAAATATGCTCAATGATATGTGATGTCTTCTAGATCACACATCTGGCCATTTTCATGGCACAGCTATCCCTTAGTTCAATTCCTTCCTCAAAACCTTCTCTCCATATTTTCCTTTAATCAAAATCACCTACTAAACATTACCCTAGAAATAAAATCATCTGGAAAGCAAGGCCTACAAAGGCAAACCTCAGATGCTAGATACTTTCTATCTTACAGCGTGGTGTCACCTCACTTGATAATAGATCTTTTACTAAGATTTAAGGCCTACTGAACAAATACTATGGCTACCTCAAGGTCACTCTGGAATTCTCAGTAATGATTAAACAACACAGGAGTCAGCGGCAAGATCTTTTGCTCCTTTTCCTTCCCTGGCCTCAGCCTTATTGCAAAACACTCCCTCCCTTCTGCTACCTGGCCCTGCAAGGCATGTTCTTACATTCCATGCAGACCAATAATTTCTATCATCTCATAAATTCTATACTTACTCTAGTAAAAAGTTAACGTTTTTTTTTTTACACTAAAGTCCTTTTCTTCATCTGACATTAAACAACTACTTCTATAATTTTCTAGTTTTTCAAAACACTGTTAATTTACACACACCAAATCAACATACTCCTACGTTGTATTTTTGCACTTTTCATTTTCTGATTTGCCTTTTTCCTGCCAACTCACACTATTTGATCACAACAAATTCCTAAGCTTTTTATCAACCTGAACTATTTACATTATAAAAATGTCCCATGTTCTCTAAAATGCTCAATTTAAAAATGATAGCTAAATGATTTTATTCATCCAATTTTACAATATGAGTTTTTAAAGTTATTTCAAGAACTTCGTCAACAAGCAAGTCAATTCTTAGGTGCTTCAAAGAAGCAATTATCAGTATGAAAAGTTAAGGCTTATGTGGTATTAACCAAATATTCTCAAGACTTGCTCAAATAGAAAACAACTGTAAATATACTCACATGTTGCTTAATAATGGGGGTACATTCTTAAAAATGCATCATTAGGCAATTCACTGTGGACATCACAGTGGACTTATACAAACCTAGACAGTCTAGCCTACTACACATGCACCTAGATGGTGCAGTCTATTACTCCTAGGTTACATTACAGACCTATATAGCAGCTTACTGTAATGAATACTATAGTATGTGTGTATCTAATCATAGAAAAGGTACTGTAAAAAGACAGCATAAAAGATAGAAAATGGTATACCTATATAGGGCACTCACCATGAATGGAGACTGCAGGACTAAAAGTTGTTGTGGGTAAGTAGGGGATGAATGAATGTTAAGGTCTCAGACATTGCTCTACACCACTATTGACTGTTTAAAGACTTTACACTTAGGCTACACTGAAAAGTTCTTCTTTCTTCAGTTAACCTTGGCTTACTGTAACTTTTTTTATTTTACAAACTTTTAACCTCCTCTATAATTGCACTTAGCTTAAAACACACATTGTACATCTGTACAAAATATTCTTTCCTTATATCCTAATTTTATATGCTTTGTTCTATTTTTAATTTTAAAACTTTTTCTTAAAAACTAAGACAAAAACACGCACTAGCCTAGGCCTACACCGGGTCCAGATCATGCACATCACTGTCTCCCACCTCCAATCTCGTCGCACTGAAAGGTTGTCAGGGGCAACAACACGCATGTGGCTGTCACCTGCTATTATGACAGTGCCTTCTTCTGGAATATTTCCTGAAAGACCCGCCTCAGGCTATCCTATAGTTAACTTTTCTTCTTAATCAACAGAAGTACACACTAAAACAATGATAAAATGGGTAGAAAATACACAATACAATAATGTATTTAACGTTATCAAGTATTATGTACTATACATAACTACATATGCTACACTTCTACAGGGACTGGCTGCACCGTAAGTTTGTTTACACCAGCACCACCACAAAAGCATGAGTAACTAAGAAGTTATGAATACCACAGCTTCACTAGGCAATGGGAATTTTTCAGCTCCCTTATAATCCATGGGACCAAAATCATATATGAGCTCTGATGACCTCACTGGCACTATGCAGTACATAACTGTACTACACAAATTAGGGCTATACCTGGCTGTACAAATTTATGGTAGTCCCAAGCTACAAACCTTCAGCTAAACAAAGAAAGACATGTCAAAAAGTTTTAAGTCCTGCCTCCTTCCCATGATTCTCCTGATTATTTCAGTACTGAAAAGAACTTTCTCTGGTTGCTGAGATGTTTAAATGAGTTCATTACTATAAAAAAGGTATTATTAGCATAACAAAGAAAATATTTTGGCATGGGAGGGAGGGGAGAAAGGAAAGAAAGAGGGAAGAGAAAGACTGTGAACACATGCCAGTCTCCCTAAAAGAAATGTAAATGTATATGGCTATCTCCCGTGCTCCTCATCAGCAATATTTTTTTTTTACAGACACCTACCCTGCATTTGCCGATACACTGGCAGCAACCTGTTTAAATCAGAAGTGTTACATGCTACACTGCACGTCAGGGTGGAAAACAGCGATGATCTTCCACAGAGCTGAGAAGATGAAAAACACTAAATTCTGATCCATTTATTAATAAACAGAGAACAGTATTTTCTTCAAATACATGATTATTTCACTACCGATACTTTATTCGCAGGATACACATTATAACTGCTGTTAAAGATAGGTGGGCATGACCGCAATTAGAGATTTCAACAGAAGGCAGAATTATTTATTTTTTTCTATTTAATTATTTTGTATTTGACACTTGCTCCACATAAGTTTATTTAAAAGAGTAAAGCGCAAGGCAGCCTGTACCCTAATGTCAGGTTTCCAGCTTGCTGCTAGAAAACGCAGTCTGGATAAGAGAGAATCTGTGTTATAAATGAAATCCCCTAAGACTAAACAATGTGCGCACATTCCAGCTAAGGACAGCCAACCAGTACCCCTTGTAAAGTGCGAACACTAACTTCTAGGTTAAGTACGCTACAAATAATTGTAAGCGAAATTTCCAAAGTCAACTACCTTTAGCTTGGGGCTAGAGCAATCACCTAACTCTATCTCCCATACCCGGCATCAACAGCTTCCTTAAATCTTCTGCTTAATTCTCCCAACAAAATACTTCCAAGCTTTCCTTGCTAAATAAAAATGGCGCTGCTTTTCCCGTCACATTATTGTTGACTTCTCAGTAATCCTTAGGTCCTTTAACCATCAAACTCAATTGGCCTTATTTAAATGCCACCCTTCCCTGAACACTGCCAAGTGCTTTTTTGAGGGTCGGGCCAGGAGGTAAGGATGGCTGCTTCTATCTACAAGGCTGCAACTTTCTCAGCTAGAATCCTGGGGGTAACTCCCTCTCACTTTTCTCCATAACCTCGGCCTTCCCCGAAACTGTTGCCTCTGTCTCTTTAAACCACACTCCAATGCAAACTGTCCCCAAAGTGCAGTAGCACTTAAGCTTCTCTGTGCCCCTCGCACCCATCAACGCCATCTCTAATGCACCGTTCACACCTAGACCCACGCCTCAGCCTTTCCGGGGGTCGTTCAGAGACACGTGCCAGGCAGACACCACCACGCCGGCCTCTCCGGGGCACAACTTTCCGCTCTGTCTACATCCCAGCCTGTGCACCCGAAGGGACCCAACAGCTGAGTCCCAGCCCCGCTGCGGCAGAGGGCAGGGACCAGCACGCACACCCTCAAGTCTACATGAAGACCCTCCCCGGCACCGTCGCCGGCACCGACGCCCGGACCACCCCTGCCCTGGGCGACGGATGAGTGTCTGGGGCGCACGCCGCGGAGGCAAGGAGGAGGCTGGCGGGAGCTAGAAGTCACCGGGACAGGCTTGTCTTCCCCTCCCTTCCAGCAGCGGCGGGCCCCAGTCCCCACCCCTATCCCAGGCCCCCAGTCTGACGGCACCACGGCCACAAAGGGCGGCGAGGGTGCGCGCCCGACGCCTGGGTGCCTCGCGGTACCTGAACCCACCTGGTCGAGTGGCAGCTGCACCGCATCGCCGAGGGGCCGCGGCAGGGTGGAGTCCGTGGTACTGGCGGTGCCGGAGGGCGATGGAAAGGCTTAGACTAGGGACTGCTCTCTACTTTGAGCCCAGCGCGCTCACTGCGAGCGACTGCTCCCCCCGCCTCCGACTTCCAGCAACTCCCAACGCCGGTTCCTCACTTTGCGCCCACAGGTGCCAACGGCCGCTCACGGCACAATCCACAATCGCTGCATGGAACTCTGACGCGGCAGCCAATCAGAGAGCGCCGGCCGAACAGCGCCCCTCCCCCGTGCCGAGGGGCGGGGTGAAGGGAGGAGGCTCACTCGAAGGCTGTAGCCTGAGGGCACCTCGCGGGGTGTGGGATGCCTTTCCGGGGTTGAACTTTAGAAGGGCGTCTTTGCCCCCTCATCCCTCCCTTTGTCCTCCCTGGAATGTCACGGCCATCCACCTCTCTCTAGGAGGGACAGCAGGCAACCTAGGGGTGGGCAGTGGCCCCCAAACAAGGAGCGAAGTGAGGGACGTCCCAAGCATTGCTGGGGACATTGGGGACCAAGCTGGGGTCTGGGAGGAGGAAGACAGTGAACCAAACCTAGCTGAAAAGCCCCATTGTCTTCGAAACTGCAGTGTAAAAGCCCAAAATTGAGAACAATCTCGTGGTCTGACCCTTTCAGTCCCCCTCCAGCCGCACCTGGGCCTTCCAGGCGGAGCGAGCTGTTCCTGGGTTGGATGCCTGTGGTGGCAGGGAGACAGACTCAACTTTGTTGCATTAAAGTTTAGTTCTTTGGTCGCCAGCCGCTCTTACTGAACGTCCTGCCTTCCTCCTCAAAGAGGCGGTTTCTAAGCATCCTTCAGCCCCTGAGCACAGTCACCCTCAGACTTTTGAATTCTGCATGTCCGCATACCTTCTGGGTGTTGAGAAAGGGTCATATATATGTGTAATTCATTTGCCCCAAACTTCATAAAAGTAATCCATTTGAGCTCTTTGAAAATGCAACATCAACTTTTGTTCAGCAGACTTTTAGAAGAGGAATGGCACGGGAGGGTTCCTAATTCCCCTTGGGAGCTCAAGACTTAAGGGTTTGACAGTTTGTGATTCGGGTAAAAATAGTGTTTACTGGGAGTTTAACCGCATGTTTTAATACTTTTGTTAGAATAGCTCAATAATCCTCACAATTACACTGTGAGATAGATACTATTATACACCATCTTTCAAATAAATTGAGGCTCAGAAAAGTTATGTAATTTGCCCATGACAACTAAGTAGATTGGAATCCAAGTAACCTACCTCCAGAGCTGACCTTGCCACTAGACCTTTGTCTTCCTCACACCTAAACCCATTCCAGAAATTCCCATCAGCTACCATTTGCTTTATGACTAGTCCGGGATCTTGAACAATAGGACAGCACAGATAAGAAAAATGCACTCACTTTGGTAAATCAGTCCCTGGGCTTTAGTTTCTTTGAAAAGGAGGCAGTCGAACTAATCAATGCAGTCCCTTTCTGCCTACAATTGAGTGGTCAATGTAATCTTAGTTTGGTAGATTCTCAACTGAAACTGAATAGAGGATAGAAGGAAGAATAAGAAAAAAACCTGGACCTTCAGTCAACCTGGGGAAGTGTTCCAGTGGGAACTGTAATCAATTAGAGAGCAACCTACTGAGTAAGGTTTTTTGATTTTTTGTTGTTGTTGTTGTTTTTTTTTTTTTTTTTTTTTTTTGAGACAGAGTTTCGCTCTTGTTACCCAGGCTGGAGTGCAATGGCGCGATCTCGGCTCACTGCAACCTCTGCATCCTGGGTTCAGGCAATTCTCCTGCCTCAGCCTCCTGAGTAGCTGGGATTACAGGCACGCACCCCCATGCCCAGCTAATTTTTTGTATTTTTAGTAGAGAGGGCATTTCACCATGTTGACCAGGATGGTCTCGAACTCTTGACCTCGTGATCCACCCGTCTCAGCCTCCCAAAGTGCTGGGATTACAGGCTTGAGCCACCGTGCCCGGCCAGATCAGGTGAGATTTCTAACAAGCCGTTTTGGGGAAATGCTACTTCAACACAAAAGGATTCCAAAACAGAGTGCTCTTCAAAGTCATAGGCTAAGGGTCATGTGCCTCAGAATCTTTTGGGAAATTTATTGAAATGCAGATTCCAGGGCTCTACCCCAGGTCTGCTTAATCAGAATTACAAGCATGGACCCAGAGGAATCTGAGTTTTAGGATAAGCTTCTCATGTGGGCTCTTAGCCTCAGCAGTGTTTGAGAACTCCTGCTAAAATCCTCAATCAGGGACAGATTTCAAGTTTTGAAAAGAAAAAAAAGTAACATGAAAAAAAAAAAGAACATGGTAGCTTTGTAAAGTTCCTAAAACTCTAAGGCAACTAGGTACACATGAGCTATAACCACATCCATAAGGAGAAAGCTGTGACAGGAAAGGTTTGCACTCATCCCACAGAGCTACTCCAACAAGGTCAGTAACCAAAACCTATTCTTGCAAAGCTGCCATGAATAACGTTAATATTTTAAAGCTCCACAGAAGAGTCCGGATCTCCAGCCAATTCAAGGAGCCTTTCCAATGTCACTGTCACTTACTTTTAAATAAAGTGCCTGTCGGGGCATTTCCAAATAATAACATTTACACAACACCAAAGAAATACCAGTGCCAAAATATGTGTTTCTGGTATGTGGGGGAGCAGTTTGGGTGGAATTACCAGGGAAGGCAATCTCCTGATACATTTTTACAACACCTACTGAGGCCTGACCAAGAACAGTATTTTAAGGAAGCTTTCTTATTATTTAAATATAATCCACATTTAAATCCATGCTATTTCTTATTTAATATGTAAATATAATCCTTATTTAAATACTAAGCAACTTTTAGTTTCTTCTTGAAAACTTTTGGCTTCAACAAGAAAACTTGGTTTCAATCACCTCTCAAAAGCCCCACCCACCAATATTACTGCATTAACCCGTAAGTTTCAACCTCTGAGTTTTAGAAGGAGCATGCACAAAAACTAAAGGTTTTAGGAAAACTAAAACTTTTCTTAGCATTTAAACATGGATTTTCTTAAAAAGGAATCACAGAAGCACGAAAAGGTGGTTATATCCTCTCTTTGGTTTAAAAAAGATTGTATTTTGGGTAGCCATTCTACATCAGGAAATTTACCAACTGTTCCCCCACAATTGTGAGAGATTTACTACATTCATGTTCTGAAGAATTTGCATCAAAGAGAGAATACCAAGGATTAATTAATACTTTAAAACTAGTACTAGCTAACATTATTTATTCATGTCTTAATTTGTGTTGCAGATAAAGGGGTGACATAAAGAACAGAGATTCATTTTCTCACATTTCTGAAGGTTAAGAAAAAGGTCACAGCACCTGCATACAGCAAGAACCTTCTTGCTGCATTCTCTGGAGAAGAGAAAAGTCATGTCTTCAAGTGGCAGAAGGTGGAAGCAGGAGAGAGCTGAACGCTCCTGCAAGCCTCCCTTACAAGGGCTGTAATAAGAGTCAGGAGGGAGGAGCCCTCACGTACAACCTAATCACCTCTCAAAAGCCCCACCTGTGAATACTACCACATTGATCCTTAAGGTACAGCATCTGAGTTTTAGAAGGAACACGTGCATCGAAGCACCTGGAGTTTTTGTTTGATCTGTTCTGTTCTGTTAATTAAGAAAATGCTTGAGTCCCACTCCCAGATTCTGGTTTAATGGGTCTGTAACCACCCAGTGGGTTCTCCTTGCCTTTTGCCCAGGTAGAGAAGATTTATCAAGACAGGGGAATTGCAAGAGAGAAGTTTAATTAAGGCAGAGCCATGTGTACAAGAGACCAGAGTTTTACTACTTTAATCAGTCTCCCAGAAAAGTCAGAGGATGGGGTTTCTTAAGGATGATTTGATGTGCAGGGGCCAGGGACTAGGGTGTTCTGATTGGTCAGGTTGAAGATGAAATCATAGTGGGCAGAAGGGGGTTCTTCCTGCTGTCTTCTGCTGCTGGGTGGGATCGTAGAACTGGCTGAGCCAGATTACCAACCTGAGTGGCACCAGCTGGTGCATCAGCATGCATGGTCTGAAATAGTATCCTGAGCACCAACCTTAGATTTTACAGTAGTGATGTTATCCCTAGGAGCAATTGGGGAGGTTGAGAATCTTGAGGCCTCTGGTTGCATGAGTCCTAAACCATAATTTATAATCTTGTGGCTAATTTGTTCGTTTTACAGAGCACTCTGGTCTCCAGGCAAGAAGGGGGTTTGTTTCAGAAAAGGGCTGTTATTATCTTTGTCTCAAAAGTAAAGAATAAACCAGGTTCCTCCCAAAGTTAATTCAACCTAGGCTGAGGAACGAACAAGGGCAACTTGGAGGTTAGAAGCAAGGTGGAGTTGGTTAGGTCAGATCCCTTCACTGTCATAATTTTCATATTGTTTTAATTTTTGCAAAAGCAGTTTCAGGTATGGGGTGAGGTCCAGATGACTACAATGTATACCAATGTTGCGAACGCTCATTTACTGTCAATGAAATAGATTTTCCATCAGTTAACAGAGAATAAAGTCTCACGAACATAGATGCTTTATAGTCTTAGTAATACAAAGGTTTTCAAATTAAGATAGAATTTTCCACCTCCAGTTTTATTATGGAGAAAAGTCCGCTGTTCTATGTGTCCCATGGTGATGTGCCCTAAGCCTTCAGAGGTCTGTATTTCTTCGTGAGTCTACTTGAGTGACTTTATGTCTGTGTGTTAGTCATTCTCACGCTGCTAATAAAGACATACCTGAGACTGGGTAATTTATAAATAAAAGAGGTTTAACGGACTCACAGTTCCACATGGGAAGGAGGCCTCATAATCATGGTGGAAGGCAAAGGAAGAGCAAAGGATCATCTTACATGGTGCGGTGCGGTGGGGGTGGCAAAAGAGCTTGTGCAGGGGAACTCCCCTTTATAACCATCAGATCTTGTGAGACTTCACCGTCACGAGAACAGCCCAGGAAAAACTCACCCCCATGATTCAATTACCTCCCACCGGTCCCTTCCATGACACATGGAAATAATGGGAGCTACAATTCGAGATTTGGGTGGGGACATAGCCAAACCATATCATTCTGCACGTAAAGGGGTATGATTTCTGCTCTTTTAAATT